GTCCTTAAAGAAGATTATACAAGTTGGCAGCGACTGTTGTTGAGCTGCACCGGATTGGCTGTTAAAATGGTAAAACACCAAAGACTCGACCCTGAAGCCAAGTGATGACTGAAGAAGGCGTCACCTCGTGCTGAACAAAGAAGCTCAAAATACTGACTTATAAGATAGTTCTGGCTAAACTGGGTACGTCTCTTTGTGCTTGTCAAAAAAAAAAGAAAAACTTTTGCAATAATGGATTCTCTCATAGTGACAAAGACCTGATTGTCTCATTAGAGTGAAATAATCTGAAGCTGTCAGGAAAGTTAGAAAACACACTGAGGACTCTGAAACTCTGTAAGCTGCAGGAAACAGTCAGCATCAGGGTGTTCTAAAGATTATTTCTTGTGATTTTGTGTCTATTTGTGCAAAGAAATTTCTAATTTATTCCTCTTTTAATTCTCATTTTCTTTCGCAGCGCTCTCTTTCAGCACCACAACTTTACTGGCATGAAGGTAAAAATGAAAAAGGCTCTGTACATGTCCTGCTCTCCTGGAATACAGACATGGTTATTAGAACAGCTTTAAAACATGCATTAATGTATGCACAGTTAGCAAAAATGTTGAAGTAATTTCAATGAAAATTCAAGAACCGCATCTTTTTGAATCAAAATATGAATGCATTACAATGACAGCAGTTTTTATTTTTTTAATTATCTTAGGTTTTTATATAATCCACATGGTTTTTAAAGGGCGTCTGGTTCAACAGCTTTGTGTCCCTGATGACGTTTTAATCCTCAGTGAACACAGACCTTGAAGAAACAAACAAGTTTAACAACAGATTTCTTCGGCATTTAAACCACAGACAGTCTCCTCCCAACCACGACTTCTTGTGTTGCCCACTCGCTCTGGTGCTTGAACACCCTTTTCAGAAAGGTTCACATAAATGTGTCCCTGAAACAAACTCACACTTAAACCCACATATCCACGGGTCTAAAGGACAGACTCAGTGAAGCCTTTGCTCAGGTGAAGAGTCTGGAGTTAGACATGATTGGATGCTTCATGTTAAAGCTGCATTGTCCAGTTCACACCATCTAAAGTGTGTCTTTGTGAAACTTGTCTTGTAACCTCATAATCGTGACCAAAGCAAATGTTTGCAGTTTGAAATGTTCAGGAGGCTCATAGGCAGTAGTACATTAATGTCTCCAGTGTTTAGGTTGTGTGTGTTTGGTATAATATTTTCCCTGCTTGGACTGTAATTAACGAGGAGAACCAGGCAGGGCACAGTACAGGCGGAAATTCAGACCCGAGAGGATGAAAGGCGGATGTCAAAAGCAGCCTAACAAGGTTCCCAAGGCGTCTGGACAAGATGGGATCTGCCCAAGTGCAAGAAGTCATGGTCAGAACTGTGGAGATTACAGCCCTATCGCATTTCCTTCCTCTTGTGGTCTGTTTACGACGTCCTTCCTTCGCAATTTCACCTGCATGCTTGGGGGCTGAGAAAGGAGAAAGATGAGAAATGAGAAAGGTGGTGCCACGACAAAGTCTCTTCTGTGTCTTGCCGAGACATTGGAGCGGGAGAGGTGCAAAAAGAAACCAGTTTGCACAACCATTAAAAAAAACAAGAAAACACTTTCCTTCATTAGGGAGGGTTCCAAGCCCTCCACCAACAAGAAAAGTAAAACAGGCCTGCCACAAACTGCATATTCCAGGGAGATGTTGGGAGAAGGCAGAAGTTCTCAGAGGTGGTGCTCACAACCCTCCGACCAGACACTGTGCTGTTGTCAAACAAAGGCCAGAAGATGATCCTGGTCGAGCTGACGGTCACATAGGAGGATGGTTGTGATAAGGCCCACGAGAGGAAGGCCAGCCCTTGGTTCAAGACTGCAGGGACAAGGGCTGGAGATAGACTGTAGAGCAGGGGTGTCCAATCCTGGTCCTTGAGAGCCACAGTCCTGCATGTTCTAGATGTTTCCCTCTTCCAACACACCTGATTCAAAGGATCATGATCGTTATCAGGCTTCTGCAGAGCTTGATGATGAGCTGATCAAGAGGGAAACATCTAAAACATGCAGGACTGTGGCTCTCGAGGACCAGGATTGGAGACCCCTGCTGTAGAGGCTTCCCCGCCAAGTCTGCATGGCAGATGCTGTCAGCACTTGGCCTTGATGGGAGAAGCAAAAAGCAAGCTGCTCGCAGGATGGGGAAGGAGGCTTAACGAGCTTCCTGTTGGCTGTGGACCAAAAGAGAGGAGGAAAGCTGCAAGCCAGGGGCAGGCCGGCAGTGATTTAGCTTTTCACTGCCGGCCCGCTGACTGGAGACTGTTGTGGTCGAGGGCTGAAACACTCCATGTAAGTTGGACACCATCTGACGATATCCCTTCCTGGCCAGTGGTAACAGTTACCAATACAGGTAATAAACAATGCACTCAGAAGTGTATGTCGCAGGTTTGTGGATGATTCATGTTGTTGCTTTAAGATAATGAGTTGTTTTTTAATTTGATAATCAATAATGAAAGTGATTATGTTAATGTGAATAAACTTTATAGGGAAAGGCTCATTAGTAAGCTCACAGGTTATCAGTTGTTTACATGTATACAATAGGACATTTACAACCCAAGTGTTTCTGAAGGTTGAACAGTTAGAGTTATTTTCTACTCCACTTTGGCACTCTGTTACAGGACAGACCAAAAACAATCATCATTATGGGTTTTTTCATCTGTTTGCCACTTCTCACATTTTGACCTGAGATCTGGAGGTATCAGGATGATGATGCTGAGGTCGTGAAGAACATTTACATTCCTGCCTTCATCCTTCAGGCCCTTAGTGAAACAAGCGTTGACGCAGATGATGCTCGAGTACGTATACTTCCTTCACAGCTTTCGATCCTATTTGATACACCTCCTGACCATCGCAAATCCGCTTTGGTTACATTCTCGTAAAATATATCCAAACATCACTCTGTCTGATCTGATTTACACATAGACTGTATAAAAGATGGACGTAACTAACGTGACGTCACCCGTTGGTTTCTGCACTGAGAAAATGAAGCCAGGGTTTTGCTACTTCCTGGTTGACATCTTGGATTTTTGGAGCCAGTGAGGCAAAAATCGTTGGAGGAGTGCGGAGCCATAGGAGCAGCGATTGGTCAGATGGATTGAGAGGCGGGCCCTCTCTGCCCGCCCACATTTACCACCTTCTGCTCGCTTCATCTGTATGGTCGCTGCCGACTGTCAATCAAGCCAGCCATGCCCCTTGCCCTGCAAAATGTTGACGATTTTTTAAAAATTCAGCATTAATTTATTTTCAGATTGGCCACCTGATCTCTGGATTTGACTATGAAAACTAATAAGAAAAAAATCCTAAACTGTAGGAATGCGGTATTTAGTGATCTGTGATCACTTCTTTTCCAATTCATTTCTATGGGAGCCAGGGCTTTTTGGAGCCAGGATAGTGATATTGCCGGTTTTTGACACTTCCGGGTTGGTTTCATTTTTCAGGGCTGGTTGCTACGTCCATCTTTTATACAGTCTATGGATTTACAGTGAGATGGAAAACATGCTGTTCTGAGGGACAGTATCACCCATTGATATAGTTTCCATATTCATCACAGCTGCAGGACTGGACATGGACACAGTTTCTCTTGTTACAAACCTTTATTAAACCCGTTGATGGCTCGTAAAACTGAAGTAGAACAATCTGCATTCTTAAAAGTTGTGAAAAGATATAAACATCGAAATTTATAAACTTTGATAATGTTGTAATATTTATTCTTGTCTTTGCAGACACCAGATTAGCGCAGACCTCCGTACTGACGCCAGTCTGTCTGCTTTCATTCAGGTCTTAGTTCCACTTCAGTGTCACAGTACAGCTTTAACTTTAAAATAAATCATTAGTCAGTTTGCAAATCTTTAATTTGGGGGAAATAAAATGGTGGAATCAGATCAGTACTTGATGACTGCACATAGCCAAACATGGGGTGTAAGAACTAGTGTGAGGAAAGGGGTGATTTGTTTTTTGGGTTTTTTTTTTTTTGCAGTATGTAAATGTAGAAGGGAAAAAGTCAGAACCACAAGTTGGAGGTGCATGAATACTGACAAACTGTGTTTAAAATTAAGACATGAATCTGGCTGTATTTGGTTATTTCTTCTTTATATCATCCACTTTGAGCTTTTGGTTTATTTGAGTTTTAAACCAAACTGAAAATGAAAAACCAATTAAAACAGACTATTTTCACATCTGTAACAGTCAATACCGACTACTGCAATACATTTGTGAAATTTAAATTTTAAAAAATAACTTTGAAAACTCCAAAGCTCTCAAAGAAAGAAAAAAACATCCACCACGTGCTGTGAGAATATTTTACTTAATGGATTTTTAAAACCTTTTTCTTAAAATGAAAGCTTGCTCATAGTGAATCCAGGAAATCGTTGGATTTGTTGGGTTTTTGTGTATGTTTGTAGTGTAATTCTAAATTAGTCATTATTAACACTGTAGGGTCTGGGCCTTATCATTTACTATAATCAGGTACAACTGTATTTTATATACTTTTATGAAAGTTTTAGTCCATAATGTTTAATTATTCAGGTACATTCACATCATAACTAAACACTGACTGGGTTTTCACTTCCATATTATATTTGTTGGTTGATTTATGAGGTCAGTCTTATTTTTTCTACACTTTGGCTGAACTGCAGTTGAATTTTATGTGCTGTATAAATAACGATGGCTTGACCTGACTTGACTTATTGAGTTCTGAATCCTAATCCTCTCGCCTTACAGCCTTTTGTGCGCTTTGATTTCCCTCAGCGGTGAGAAAGAGCCCTGGAGACATCCTCCACACGCACAGCCTCCGTCCAGCCTGTCTTGTTAGAGAGTGAAGTTGATAAATGTGTGAAAAAGTCAAAGGTAGGGGGAGACATCAGAGAGGAAAAGGCGTTTCATGACAACCACAGTCCTCCTCCTCTGTCTCCAGAAGGCGCCTCATGACGCGCTGCCTCCCTCTCCTCTGTGTCTTGTAGCTTCAGCGCAGCCTCCTTTAATTCATTAGGAGACATATATGGAGCAGAGAGGAGGAGAGGAGAGCAGACTACTTCGGGTCATGTAAAAAGGAACAGCTCCTATCCGCGCTTTCTTCCTCCAGTGTGTTTGCGCGCAGCGGAGCGATGGAAGCGGTGCGCCCCGAGCGGAGCGCTGCGCCTCGGCTCTGCTTCCTCCTGCTGCTGCTCCTGCTGGGTTCCTCCGTGTCCCCCTCCACGGCCTGGGACCTGGTTCTTCTCCACACCAACGACGTGCACGCCCGAGTGGAGGAGACCAGCGTGCACTCCGGGAAATGCAGCAAAGGCAGCGGGTGTTTCGCCGGCGTGGCCCGGAGAGCCACGATGATCCGGAAGATCCGCAAATCGGAGAGCAACGTGCTGCTGCTGGACGCCGGAGACCAGTTCCAGGGGACCGTGTGGTTCAATTACTACAAGGGAGCAGAGGCAGCGCATTTCATGAACACGCTGCAGTACGATGCCATGGTAGGAGCGCTTTGTTTCTCCTCTGGAAGATAACGCAGACATCCCATTGTTCTTCTGATGGACTTTATAACGTCAGTGGGGATTTGTATTAATGTTGCAGTAATGATGTCTCTTGGAACACAAGTGACATTGTTAGTGGTCAGAAGTATTCAGATCCTTTACTTGAGTAGAAGTGGCTCGATTTACAAATAGTCCATCACATTGCAGTTTATCCATCACATGTACATCACTGTACAAAGCAATGAAAGGCACCAGCTAGTTAAATGCATGTTTGCGAGAAATAATAATAATAAAAAAGAAACTATTTAGATAAACTATTAAAGCAGCACAACCACTGTTGATGGGTTGTGTTGACCTAATAATGTTGGAAACTGTCAACTTCCTACTGAGTGTGATTTCAACTCAGATTTCTGTCTTACTTGATTTAAAGCTGAATTTAAGTTGAGATAACTTAATTACATTGACTTGATAACTTTTTTTTCGCTTTAAGTTCAAGATTTTAACCCTGTCCTATCACGCCTGGACAATTACAGATGGTTAAGGCTGGTAGATTAAAATCATTTGAATTGTAGAGGACAAACTAATTGTCCCAACTCAACTTAGTTAATTGAACATAAATTTATTAGAAGTTGTTATAACTTAGATAGATAGATAGATAGATAGATAGATAGATAGATAGATAGATAGATAGATAGCCTTTATCGTCTGTCCCAAATAGTGACAAGGCTCCAACAATAAAAATACAACACATGTAAAAACACACTTAAGACACAAGCTCACAAAGAAACATTTAAACAAAATAGCAGCCGATAAAATGTACTGTTCAGTGTCTTATTTCATTTTGTTCAGGGTGGTTATTGCAGTGGGAATAAAGGGTTTTTTCTAGATGTTTTTGCGGGCCAGTGGGACTTTGTAATGTCTGCCTGATGGAAGTAGCTGGAAGGAATGATGAAGGGGCTGAGAGGGGTCCCCTGTGATCAGGGAGGCCTTCCTGATCACAGAGCGGTTACACAGTTCAGAGACATGAGTTTGTGGTGAACCAATGATTTTGCTGTTCTGACTAACAATACGGGAGAGTTGTGTGTTTAGTGGAGAGGGAGCTGTACCAGGATGAAATGTTGAAGTGAGGATGGATTGGATGACTGAGGTGTAACCCAGGGTTCAAATGCCTCTGCTGACATGAAAAGTCCTCAGTTTCTTCAGCAGGTGAACCTGCTGTTGTGCGGGATGTCGATCTCTGTTCCCACAGATTTAAAAACTTCAACCTGCTCGACAGACTGACCCCGGATACTGAGGGGTTTAAAAAGGGGTGTCAGAGATTTGCCTCTGCCCCCACAGCACAACTCCTTAGTTTTTGAGATGTTAAGCACCAGAGAGTTTTTTATTTAAAAACTCGGGCAAAGTTGTTGACTGCCTCAAAAGATTGGTGTAAATGTTGTGCTATTGTCATTGTTGAGCTCAACATTATACGTAATTTATTTTATAATGTCACATGTTAAGATTGGAGTCATTTTATGTCTTTCCTGGTAGTTTAATCTGGAACAACTGGTTGCATGTAATAAACTAACTGAGTAACTTTACATATGAAACAACTGCAGTGGAATCAAAGTGTTAAGTAGCAGAAATAGAAATAACCAAGTATTGAACAAGTACTTTATTTCTGTTTATTTCTAAGCGTTTCTAAATAATAATACTCTCATTACAATATGTTTAAAATGCTAATAAGAGCCCGCACTGTGTTGGCGATAAGGATAATCGTCTACTCTTGGATTAACGATGTTCCTACTCAAAGCATTCGTGTATTTTTCTGCCTTTAAGGGTCACAGGCAGTGATTGGTTCATTCATCATCCAACAGTTTTGATCTGATAATTACCAACAAGAAAAACAAGGACTTTATTAAAATGCTGCAGTGATGATAAATAATGACGATCGATCAAGTCCTTACATTTACGTGTTTATGCAGACGGTGAAGGAGCCCAGTCATCATGGTGGTTTTTAATGGGGACACTACAAACGTTGCTAAAACCATCACGGCCTCTCACTGTAAGGCTGAACTTGATTTATTGGCTTGGGTCTAAAGGCCTCAGTTGGTTTTAATTAGCTTAATTGCAGCATCGTTGTGATGGATCAGCTGTCTGCTCGCTGCGCCTTTTAATCTTTGAGCCAGAATCACAGGGACGAGCCGACGTCTCACTTTGAACCTTGATGGAGAGCAAACTGTTTTCTGCTCAGGAGTTCAAATTGAGATGTTTTAAATTCTGAAAGTGTAAAAAGTGACTCGTGTATGAAGGCCGGGAGAGTTTAATGATCTGCAGCTTCAGAAAAAATAGAATATGTTGGATAAACCCTTAAAAAAAAAAAAGAAAAAAAGGCTCAACATAAACGAAAGTGAATTAAATCCATCTATTTGAAAACATGCACCATAAAGAAATGCACTGTAATATACAACACAATAAGTTGCAGTATTTATTTATAGCATAGAAAATATATTTATATAGTTATCAGTTTAGTGTAAGAATTTTATGCATTGTTTTTGTTTTTGTTTATGTTTTTTATCAAAGTGCTGCAAGTGCTAAACTGTAGAACAGAGTAACTAAAACATACTAAAAAATAATGAAGCCACCAGAAGAAAACAGAATATATAAATAGTGTAAAGAATCAGCACAGGTTCAACATTTAGAAAAGGTTTTCAAATAGAAGTGAAGTTTTAAAAGAGCAGCTTGTCAAGTTCGTTAGAAAAGCACAGTCAGCTTTTGATCTAAATTAGGTTGGTGTAAAGACAATGACATTTGTCCAAAGGAGAAGGAAGGAACGACTTTATCCATATCTGCAAATGTTAACAGTTAAACGCAGACCTGATTGTGCCACTGTGAATATGGTGTTCTTGTCATAAAGACTAAGGGGAACATAAAGTTGTGTATCATCAGCATAGATATGAACATATTAAACCAGTGGCTGAAAAATATCAGAATCATTCTGTCTTTATGTTAGTTTGTGGATCAACATCTCTGATGTGCAACAAATCTCACTTCCAGCTTTATTCATCAGCTTTTAGTGCCCCCTAGAAGATGTATTTAAAGGTCCCTTTCAAACAAATTTTTAAAATGTTTAAAAGTACTCTGCCTGGAATCATAGTTTGCCTCTGACATGGTTTTTCCACCAAGAATAAATAAAGCTGCAAAACTTTTGCATCGAAAGAAAAAGTTTGTTTCTGAGGTTTAACTGCTGGACGTAGGATGTCTCTCTTCATAGTGTTGGTGATCTGAAAGCTTAAGGTTTCTGCATCATATGTGTGAACGTTATACTGGGCTACAGGTGGCTGTAAACTAGTTTAAATTCCCATTATAAATCCTGTTCATACACGAAGTGGAGTGGAACTTTCAAACTGATACCCTGACCAAATGGTGCTCAGAATGTCCTCATCCTGTTGTGTGGCCTGGTTTTATCACATAACAGCACAAATGTTAAAGTTCTGCCAGTTTCTTGACAAACCCATTGATGGAGGAAGTGTTCAATTTGCATCCAGAGTAAGTTAACTCAGGTGGAAATGATCCTGAAAGAAAAGGCTGTTATGTGAAGAACAAACAGGAATGTAGGAGTGAAAGGACATAAAACTGGACAAGCAAAGATTTCTCAAAAACATCAACGTTTATCTGGGACAAATAAAACAATTTAAGAAGAAATGAGTCCCGTGGCCACAGCTCATAAACCTTCCTTTGTAATTCAACTTGAGATGAGGTGTCACCATAACTCTGTTTAATGACACCCACAAAGGTTGGGAGCCACTTTAACAGACAGTAGATCAGCAGCTTTAGTATTTGCGTGACAGCCTTTTCAAACCAAATTAAAAGTTCAGTCTTTACACGTTGCTTTCTGACAAAAAGATCCAGGGACTTAGATTTCCAAAGA